CCAGTGGCCTGCCATGATGCTGCAGGCTCTGGTGCATCCAGGGACAGTCCCTGCCCCGAGGAATGAGCGAGAGTCACAGGAGAACAGGGGCCTGGGACGGCATCCAGGTGGCCCTGGCTCAGTCACCCTGGGGCACTGGGGCCAAGTGACCTGCGGGAGGTCCGGGATGGACGTTCAGAGTGGACCAGAGAAAGAAGAGGAAGACTGAAGGCTGAGCCCGGGGTCGGGGGCAGGGAGCCGGCAGGAGGGGACGGCTGAGCCCACCTGCTGTGTCACCTCCCTCACCCCCTCCCCGTGACTCAGCCCCAACTGCAGCCGCCTCCTCAGGGAAGCCCGCCCGGATTGCCCACGGCTGCTGCTCACAGCCCCATGCTCTGAAGAATCTGTCCCCTCTGCTGACCAGGGAGCTCTGGGGGAGGAGCCCTGGGCGATCTGTCTTTCCACCCCCAGCTCCTCTCGTGCAGCCAGAGCAAAAAAAACCCACCCACCCACCAAACAAAACCCCCGAATCCCTCCGCCACCGCCAACACAGTGAACTGAACGGAGCTGAGCGCGAGGGCGGCGCTGTGGCAGCCCTTCTGTGAGCAGCGAAGGCTGGTCCTGCCCACGTCTGAGCGGCCCCCAAATCTGGCTTCCTTTCCATCAAAACGACCAACTCACCCGTCGTAGGTGCTGCAGCGCCTGCACGTACCTGCGGGGACAGAGGGCGGGGCCAGTTATCGGGTGTCCCCGGGGAGGGGGACAGTCCACCGGGGCGGCTGCGCACTCACGCTTTTTCCGAAGCCAGCAGCTCCTGGGCGACGACGAGGGCTCGCGACTGTCCTTCCCCCTGCGGAGGAGACAGAGGGTCAGGGGACAGTGCACCTGGTCTCATGCCTGTCCCCATGATGTCCCTAGACAGGAAGGGGACAGGGGCTGGCAGGTGACCGGGCCTCATGCCGTGAGCAGGCTCTGGGGCCCCCTCCTGCCGGACCCAGGGGGCTGGAGGCCAGGTTCACAGGTGTGGACACTGACAGCACAGACAGGGGGTTCCAGAAGGTGCAGGTGGCCGGGGGCGGGTGGCCCGCGGTGGCACAGAGGGCACTCGACAGGGACGCCCGGCTTCTGGCTCCACCTCTGCCCCCTGGTTCGGTTCTGCACAAGCCTCTTTCCAGAGTTGGGCCTCAGTTCCCCTCCCCACACCCTCTGTGATGCCGCCAAACTTGAGGACATCAAGAGAACAGTCCCCGCTGGTGACAAGAGACACGTCCCACCGTGGAGCCTGGCGGTCAAGTAACACAAGCCTGCGGCAGGGCTCCCATAGAGAACGAGGGGAAGAGAATGATCCAGAACGACTACGTCTCTTCCCCTATAAAATGAGGCCGGGCTGGGCGCAGTGGCCCACGCCTGTCATCCCAGAGGCTGGGGAGGCTGAGGCGGGAGGATCGCCAGGTGGAGGCCAGCCTCAGCCACAACGAGGCTCTAAGCAACTCGACGGGACCCTGTCTCTAAATCATGACACAAAATAGGGCTGGGGACGGGGCTCAGGGCTTCAGCACCCCTGGGTCATCCCTGGTAGGAAAAGAAAAGTACCAGAAGTCAAAAAAGGACCTTGGACCCCCAGAGCCAGGCCCTCAGGGGCCTCAGCCACCCGATCTGGAAAATGGGTGAGCACCCCCAGCCCTGGGGACGCCGTGAGGTGGCGGGGAAGTGTCCCCACCCGCCCGCACGGTGGCCTTATCGCTTCTGGAAGGATCTGGGCTCTGGCCACTGTGCACGTCCCTCCCGGCCCCTCCTGGCCAGACGGGCAGGCCCTGGGGGTCAGGGGACAGTCCTGCGGCGGAGGCTCGGCCGATGATGGATGTGTCCCCGCCAGACAGCGCCCAGGGACCTCGGGCGTGGCCCATCTGGCCCCGCGGAGAGGGGTTTGTGTAACCAGGAAATGGCCTCGGAGGGCAGGGGACGGCGTCCGGGGATGGGCTTCTGGGAACAGGGTCCCCGCAGGAGCATGGGGTAGGGCCGGGCCTGAGTCGTGGCTCCTGCTGCCCAGACCCCGGCTCAGGGTGTCCCCGGCCAGCGCTGCCTCCCCAGGCCCCAGACCCACCGGCCACTCAGCTCCTGGCTACGGGGGCCCAGGGCAGGGAGGGAGGGACAGGCCCAGGAAGAGTCGGGGTGCGGGTCCTCGGCCTCTGGGCCTCCGTTTTCCTAGCTGTCCACGGGCAGCTTAGCCTCCTTCTAGAACATTCCTTGCCTCTCTTTCCCACCCACGCATCTGTGTGGCCGGGAGTCCTCAGTTTTTGCCCATTTATTTTAGAAAATAGCCTTTTCCCCCCGTTACATGTACCCACTGATGTCCGTCTGTAATGGGTCTTTATTATTTTAAAATGAATTAAAAGAAACGTTTAAAGTTTTCCTCAGATTTCTCTCTCTTTTTTTGGTACTAGGGATGGAACCCAGGGGCGCTTACCCATGGAGCCCCGTCCCCAGCCCCCGGGGTCTGCGGCAGGCATGGGCCACACGGGAGCCCTGGGCCTCCCCTCTGGGTGACTGTCCCCTGCTCCTGGCACGCACTGCCTGGACCTGTCCCCAGTGTCCCTGTGCCGAACAGAGCATCCTTGCCAGGGTCCCTGGGAGCCAGGAGGGAGCGGACCAGGGACGTGGGAGGATGCGGGTCAGACACCGGGTGCGGTGGCCCACGCCTGTCATCCCAGCTGCTCGGGAGGCTGAGGCAGGAGGATCCCAAGTTGGAGGCCAGCCTCCGCCACTCAGCAAGGCCCTCAGCAGCTCAGGGAGCCCCTGTCTCTAAATAAAATAGAAAAAAGGGCTGGGGACGGGGCTCCGGGGTCAAGCGTCCCTGGGTTCAATCGAAAGAGAGACAGACAGACAGACAGACGGTGGGCTGGTGGGAGGACAGGGTGCTCAATTCCCTTGTGGATGAGAATCTGGGCAAAGTGACCTTCCGGGGACAGGTGACAGCATGCTCCTGGCTCCGACCCCCTGGCTCTACTGGCCGTGGCCCCTGCTGGACACTTAAGGGTCCCCGGCTCACGGGCCCCACGGAGAGCACTGCTACCACCCTCAGCCCCGAGGGCCTGTCCGGCGAGGATCTCGGGGCCTCGCTGGGCCACCTGCGGTCCCCTTCCAGGCCAACGCAGCGCCTGTCCCACCCGCCACCTCGGGGCTCGGCTGCGGGATCAGGGGACCCGGCTCTCGTGCTCAGGCGGCTCCCGGCTGGCCGAGTCTTTCATGCCCTGCGACGGCCCTGGCCGGGGGCGCTCCCTACCTTGTGGGTGAGGCCGGGGTCTCTGGGCACGCCGTCCTCCTCCTCCGAGCTTCCCTGCTCTTCATCCGACGTCACGTCCTCTTTGGGGGCCACGGCCGAGACGGCACAGACCTTGTAGGGCTCCGTGTAGGCGCTGGAAGGAGCAGGGCAGAGGGTTAGCAGGGGACCCGTCCACGGAGCTCCGGTCCCCCCAGGGGCTGGCCTCTTTTTAGTGCCTTGAAGACATCCGGCTCTTTGCTACCCCAGGGCCTTTGCACGAGCTAAGGCAGGACCATATTCCTGCTAGGGACTAGGCAGGCTGGGACGCAGAGGGCAGGTCCAAAGAAAATGACCTTGGTGTCACTTTGCTGGCAGATGGCGTGAAGGTCACCGCTCAGCACCCCGTGGGGGCTTCATATCTGATGATGTATTACGCAGGCGCCGCCGTGAGCTGACTCAACCACACGTGCATTCCATACGCGTGCAGCAGTGGCTGGCTTCGTGCTGGACACGGGCCGGGCAGTGGGGCACAGAGGCTCGGGCAGCACAGGGACTGTCCCACAGAGAGAGGGGAGCTCCTCTCCTGCTCAGACACCCTCCATGGCTCCCTCTCACCCCGGCCATGGGAGATGTCCTGCCGAGATGTCCCTCGGCCTCCCCTGCTGCCCAGGCCTCCATTCCCCGCTGAGGAGCCGTCCCCAACCTGCAGGCCACCTCAGCTGCTCAGCAGGGCTCAGAGGACAGCAGGGCACGGGTCCCCTGCCTTCCAGAGCCACATGCGCCCATGGGTGATCCTTTGTCCAGCAGGGGACAGGGAGCGGACCTGCCCTCCTTCCACCAGGGACGGCCACAGGCCCCAGGAAGGGGACACTGGCCCCTGCTGTGGCCCTCGGAGGAAGAGAGGAAAGGGTCCCAGCCGGCACTGCCCATCACAGCCGCTAGGGGGCGCTCCACTCCCCAAACTGGTTTGGAGACAGGTTCTTGGTCAGCTGCTGAGGCTGGCCTCCACTTTGAGATCCTCCTGCCTCAGCCTCCCAAGCCGCTGCCATGACAAAGATCTTTCTGTTTTCTTCAGATTGACTCGTTTTGAACATCGACGACCTGCTCTTCTTCACGCCAAGGCATCACGCCCGTGGAGCCCCGGCGAGTGGCCCTGCTCCCCACTGGACACGCGGACCTCGCAGATGATGATGAGCCTGGCCCCTTCTTCTCCACTGACCGTCTGTGTGTCTCATGTGACCTCAGCTGCGGTGGGAAGGGTGGCCCGCGCTGATGGCTGGCTTATGATCAAACGTCCGGCTTCTGTTTTCCAGAAAGATCACGGAGGCAGAAGTCGGGGGCAAGGGGTCAGGGGGCGGATGCTATTTCTGGTTCACGGCTTCACCAGGGGCCCTTGGGGACGTGAACAGGACACAGGACGAGACACTGCCACTAAGGGGTGCTGCTCACACCTGTCATCCCAGCAACTCGGGAGGCTGAGGCAGGAGGATCTCCACTTCAAGGGCAGCCTCAGCCACTTAGCGAGACCCTAAGCAACTCTGTGAGACCCTCAGAAGCAAAAACTGAAAGGGGCTGGGACGTGGCTCGGTGGTAGGGCATCCCCAGTACTATGGGGGGGGGGGAATAAAAGGCTTTCATAGCACACATGCACCCCAGTGCCTTTGCACAGTCAGTGGAAATGAAGCCACGGGCCCCATCTTGGACAGAAGCCATCAGTTAAATAAACGAATCAAACATGTCGAGACCCAGACCACAGGTGTCGATTCAGCTGCTCCTGCAGCCCGTGGTCACCACCACCCGAGGGATCTTCAGATACCAGGGAAGGTGACCCCCTGAGAAGCCTTCTCGAGGGTGGGACATAGCTCTGTGGGACAGGCATTCTCTCCCCCAGCCACTAGCCCACCCACCCTCCCCTCCAGCCTCCCCTCCAGCTTCCCCTCCAGCCTCCCTTCCAGCCTCCCCTCCAGCCTCCCTTCCAGCCTCCCCTCCAGCCTCCCCTCCCTGGCTTGCTGGATAAACAGGGGCTAGGGGCTCCTGCTTGTGGCGCTCACACCAGGAGGACTCGACGCTGACCGCGCTTCTCTCTCTGGCCTCAAAGAGAAGAGGGTGCAAAGCTCAGGTGGGGCGCAGGGGGCTCAGAGCCGTCGGCCTGGATGGACGAGGCTGGAGCTCGGGGAGCCCGGAGGGTGCAGCGGCAGGACACAGGCCCTCAGAGAGCGGCGCAGGGAAGGGGCTCCGCAGACGCCAGCTGCCTGGTCCCCGGACCTGACTCGTGTCAGGTCAGACGCAAGGGCCAGACAGTCAGAACTGGAGTGAGGTGAGCAGGAAGTGGAGAACTCTGGCATCAGAGAGAGAATTGCTGTGTGACCTTGAGAAAGTCACTCAACCTCTCTGTTTTTTTAATGTGTAAGTTGGGGATGGTGGGAGAGGTTCCTTGCTGAACTGAATCAAAACAGGATGGTCAAAGTGGTCCCTCCCTGGCATGGAGGAGGAGAGTCTTCCTGGCCAGCCTCAAGGAGCTACCAGGAGGTCCATCCCCTAACCCCCCAGGCCGGTTTCCACCAGGCCAGCTCTGCCTGGGAGTCTGCTTGGACTTAGAGGGAACAGAAATCACAGCTGCCCCAGCTCATGGCCTTAAGTGACCCGCCCAGAGCGCCCGGGCCTTTCCAGCAGCCTGGAGTCATTAAAAACAGCCCTGGGCCTCCACGTGGGGAGGCCAAGGCTGTGCATGGCCCACGGCGGCCAGCGCTGACCCTTAGATTCCGTCCAGTCTCATAGTCCTCGGAGCCAGAGCCTGAGCGCAGCCAGACACGGCCGCCCCCTGGGAGATCAAGACCCAGCTCTGTCCTTGCCCAGGAGCCAGGCGACACTGCAGATGTCACCCGGCTCCTCCTCGCTCCGGGAGGCCAAGGAGGCTCGGCTGAGCTCTGGGAGCTGAGTGGGATATGGAGCTGGGGAGACCCCAGAGGGACCTGGGAGAGGAGGACAGGGGCAGGGGCTGCGCACCAGAGAGCCCCTAGCCTCCCGGGTCCCTTCTGTCCCCGCTGCCTCCCCAGGTGGCCTCTTTTGGTTGGAGACTCCTTGGCACTCAGAACGTCCCCTCCCGCATCCACCCAGACATCAGCTGCAGTGCAGATGGGACCTCAGGGGACAAGGCACAGGGGACCCTGGTGGAGGGCTGGGGAGTCCCTGCCAGCCTACAGTCACACACAGCACAGCACGTCGGGTCCGCGCGGTGGCTCTTTCGGCCTCTGCATCTGCCATGTGGAGGCGGAGGCTGGTGCGCAGGCGCAGGAGGCCCTGTCGGGGGCGTGGCTGCCCTGTCGGGGGCGTGGCTTCCCCGCGGAGACCTGCGCTCCTCCTCCTGCAGCCACCTCCCGCCCAGGCCCGGGTCAGCCAAGGGCCAGGCCAGCGCTGCTTCCCAGAAACGGGCTCCCAGGCGAGGCTTTTCAGAAAACCCACTTCCACACCCCACTAAGTGCAAACACAAGTCCATCCCGGCTCTGCGACCCGGGGTGTCCCCATGTCCCCGCGGATGGATTAGGGGGACAGTTTCCCTTCTGCTGCATCTTTTAATAGCATTGCATGTCGCAGACCCTTTGGAAGCGCACCATCCGAGGCGGTTTAGCACACGCCGCCGGGAGGGTTTGGCACCAGCCCAAGAAAGGAAACCCGCACCCCGCCCTTAGCGTCACTCCTATTCCCCAGAGGTCCCCCAGCCTCTGGCAACCGCTAGTCTGCTCTGCTTTCAGTCTCTGTCGCCTGGTCTGTTCTGTATAAAATTATGCAACCTAATGCCCTGGGGATCTGGCGTCTTTCACTCGGCATCTGCTAGCCAGGACCAGCCCTTCCCTCCTTTTCATGGCTTAGTAATATTCCACTGGATGGCCAAGACTGGGTTTGGCTTCTTTGCTGGATGGCTGACAGACATCTGGATCGTGTCTAGTTTGGGCTGTTGTGGACAAGGCGGCTGAGAACATCTGCATGCAAGTTTTTTTTTTTTTGGGGGGGTCGATGATGGGTGTGTTCTGGATATGGACCCAGGAAGAGAGGAACTGCTAAGTCACAGGGTGACTGTGGAGGCCCCGCTAGAGTGTCTTCCCCAGCGGCCACAAGTGCGGGGGACTCTTGATTTCTCTGCCATTTCCTTGCCAACGCGGGTTATGGGCGGTCTCTTTCATCTTGGCCATCCAAGTGGGTTGGAAGTGGTTTTATTGGAATGTCGCTATCCCTGAATCCGGTACAGCCTCCCACTCCAAGCAAATTCTGCCATTTCCACCACCCCCCCCCCAAAAAAATATGATGATGACTACGAAAGGCTTATTTTCAGATCATCAAATGAGGTTCCCAAGATGTAAAACTGTCAAGAAATTTGTGGAAGCCTCACACAATGACAGACTAATATAAAGAGAAGGAGGAAATACACAAGAAAAATTCACAAGCCACAGCCCCGCACTCCTAAGTACCCTGGCTCCAGTTTTGGGAAACAGGAGTGGCCTTTGACACCTTGGATAATTGTCCCCCAAGGCTGGGGTTGAAAGCTTGATCCCTCAGGTGGTGCTATTGGAAGGTGAGGGAACCTTTAAGAGGTGGAGCCTAGTGGGAGGAAGTTAGGTCATTGGGGGTGTGTCCTCCAAGGCAATCCTGGGAATTTTCCCTCTCCCTACTTCCTGGCCAGAGGTGAGTTATTAGGCTCCACTGTGTGCTTCCCTGCAAGCCCAGAAGCAATGGGCCCAGCCCAAAATGAACTGAAAGGTTCAAAAGTGCAAGCCCAAATAAACCTTTTCTCTTTATAAACTGATGTCCACAGGTAGTTTGTCACAGTGACGCAGAGCTGACTAACAAACAGCTTGGGGCAGCAGGGCAGGTGTGTGCATTTTTGGTTCTCAACATGATATTTGGGGGTTGTCTGTCCAGAGGGGAGGAATTCTGGTCCAGTGACTCCCGCCACATCTTTAGCGTCTGTCCATTGTAGGCACCCAACGCGACACCCCGCGGGTGTGTGCCCAGGTCTGCGCCTTCCAGTCACTGAGTCGCCCCAAATCTGTTCCAGAATCCTGCCCCTCTCCCTTCTGCTTGCCCAGCCGGGGTCTAACCCAAATTTTGCCTCTCCCACGAAGCCTCTGGGAGAGGCACCTGGGGGTGGACGCTGGG